CCAAGCAAATCAGGGCTTTCGGTTTATTTCACTACTAAATTGTGTCAGTTTTCATTGTCTAAGGTGCCCTCTGTACCTTTCATCAAGGATTTCCTTGGTAAATCATGTAAAAGTAATGAAAAAGATGACTGTAATGTCTCTGATTTCTTAAAGATTTTTGTCTTGTTTTACTTTATTGCAGGGTATTATATGAACATGTTATCTGTTTTGCCAGGCTATACCCTACAGATTCAAATGGAACTTGATTAAGGCCTTCTTATCAGAGTTATCTTTGTCAAGAATTCTACTTGGACTAATTATCAGGCATCTTTATTTATTTTCTTTTCCAAGCATTGCCTTATAAGCCAAATAAATATTGTTTACTTCTCACAGGCTCACTTACATAACCTGTTTTGATCACTAAATAGCTAGTCTAAGTGTTCATTCTATTATATTCATTGGACAATTTATATTACTTAAAGCAGGAGAAGTTAGATAACTACCACTTTGTTCTCCACCTTTATAATAAAATAAGCACATTAATATTTTATTTATTGTTCTAATTAAGAGTATCCAATATTACACAGGAGTTTTACAGGCATTGCAAAACAATCCTCACAGTGGACACACAAGAAAACCATTGTGACTTCCCACAAGGTGTTCTCCAGTCATGAATCACTGGTTATTTTATTTTCAGGCTTTTATGCATTTAATTTCATCTGTTCATCCAGGGCCTTGGTTCTGAAGGGAAGTAGAGATGGAAATAGATAAGCCACTATCCATCACTTCTACATCATACAAGTATAAACAACTATTTGAAGAATTCAAAAGATGGAAGTGTTCATGTCACCTGAATGGACTCAGGAAAAATAGGGTCAAGGGAAGATTTCTTGGTTTATTTATTCATTCATTGTTTTTTGTAGGCAGTCTTAAAGGAGAAAAACATTGAGCCTGTGGAGAGAATGCAAGTTCAAGAGAGAAGTGGGGGGACAGAGATGAGAAAAGAAGACAATTCTTCCCCCTCCTTCAAGAACCAGGGAGGATTAGGGAAAGGGAAGTTTTGAAGTTAAGAGCAAGACATTGAGGGAATTCTTTCTGGTATGAATGTTCTCAGTAAAGCAGGTCGATGTTAACTGAAGTGACAGGGGCCAAATCTGGAATCTTGAGCAGAGGCCTGGAGTAGCCTCTGGGAAAAGTGGAATCCACTAGGCACGAACAGAAGTATGGATCAGCAGTAATGTGCACCCATAGCAGACACCTGGTGGGGAACCTGTCCTTGGGCTGAGGTGTCTTTTTCCCTTCTGTGTTGTCAAAACTAAGAACTGAGGAGGATGTTGGTTATGGCATAAATTGTGAATTGGCAAAACAGGACGGCATGGTAGGAGGTCCAGGGGCTGAGGGCTCTAACGTGCCCTTGGTGCATGCAGGGCTTTGGGTCCGGAGAGTAGAGTTGAAAGATTGACTGGAAGGGCCCTGTGGGATGCAGGTTGGAGGAGGTGCAAGCAAACCCCACTTTCCTGTGGCTCCCTCCCTTCCCCAGACTGGCGCCCGAACCCCAGCCTCTCCCGTTACCCCTTGCCTGACGCCCCAGATCACCTTTGCTTCAGCCTCTCCCTGATTTTAGCAACACAGGCGCCTTCTCTTTCAGCCTACAAATAAGACTCTGTAAAACGACGAGATACAGAGCTTTTATTTTGTTCTACTCTGTGTTCTTTTATCCTATTTCTGATTTAGCTTCTCATTTATATATTTTCATTTTCACATGTCACTAAGTTTAAATGTTTAAACATTTCCCCCTTCAGTAGCCAAAAAGAAAACAAAGCAACAGCTAATATAGTAATAAATTTATTCCTAGCTACAGGAGATAAGCTTCAATGCAATATGGCCATAAAGCATGGCTTCCAGGCTTAGGGGAGAGGCAATAAAAGTCCATAAATAAAAGAATTTTCAAACACTCCTGGAGGTATAAATAAGGGTAAAATATAACTTGTAACTGGCAGCACACAGCCAATAACAGAACTATTTACAAAAGAAAACTATAAACTAAAAGAAGAAAAGGTTCCTAGCTTTTGTGGTGGTGTCCCCGTCACACCCTAGGTGGGCTGATGGGAGGACTCTCTGTGGGAAGTTTTTTACTCACCTTCTGAAATGTTCTCTCTTTTTCATCTCCTGATACCTTTTGATTTGCTGAAGATCTGTGATAATCACCAAGGAAACCCAAGGGTGCTGATGCCACAAATAAGAGAGTTTTCAACAAATTGTAAGGTGTTAGAGAACTCTTTAGGAAGGAGGGAGACGGGGGCCCACAGGTCGGTCAACAAGGGAGCTGCTCAGCTCAGGTGTTTCCTTGACTTTCAGTCTTGCTCTGCAGCTGATCTTTAAAGAAATCTGAAGTTCTCCTGAGGTCCATCTCAGGTTTCATTTGGGTCTTCAGCCCAGGAGTCACTTGGGTAAAAAATAGTGGCATTTTAATGAGCAACGCCTCGGTTCAAAAGGTCCACTACTGTTAAGTAGTAGATTATTTGTTCTCTAAAAAATTAAGGAGCAAATAAGATAAAGACCTGCCTGCCTATCTCCCCTCCTCCCTCCCACCTCTCTCTCTAAGCAGAAGTGATAATAGAGGGGGAAATGAAATGCTGCCAGTGGGATGCAATCAGAATTTATCATTTTTCTCATTCAATAAATGTGTGTTTCCCAGGCATCTGTGATTGCAGGCACTGTGTTTCTTGCTGGGAACTAGGTTAAACATGGTCTCTCACCTCCAGGAACTGAGAACCTTGCTAGCATGGAGTGGGTCTGGGAGGGCTCGGTGTGGTGTGAGCTTGGTTTGGAAGGTGGCAGAATCTCCTCTGTAGAGAAGAGCGTTTCAGAGAGGGGAGAAAAAGGAGTCAAGACTGTGAAGGGAAATGTGAATGAAAGTTAGTTGGGCTTAGACTGTGGAAAGCCATAAGTGCCGTTTTAAGGAATTTGGACTTTCTCGTGTAGACAGCAGGAAGCCACAGAAAAATTTTAGGGCAAGAAGAGACATGATTTGTGTTTTAAATTTGTTTTATGAAGAGAAGCCTCTGTTGGCGGTAAAGACAAGATGAGAGACAGATGATGAAGGCCCCAGGGAACCAGCACGAATGGTGCGGCATTCCACTTAGAACTGGCTGTGCCTCGGTCTGTCTAGAAGCAGGCTTGCTTTTACTGGGTTATGTAGAGAGAGACAAGCTAGCACAGAGATTCAATTCTGAATTTGATTTCACTACTTTGTAGCCATGTGTTTGTAGACAAGGAACTTAAATGCTGTCCTGTGTCTCTCACCTACACAGTGGGGCTAACGGTAGTGCCTCCTGCATAGGGTTGTAATAAGTGTTAACTGAAATGTACGTGATGTGTAGCCCTTAGAACCATGCCTGGTGTATGGTATATGCTAAATATTGCTTTTTATTCTTACTGTTTTCCTCAATTCATTCAGTTTGCTTGTTTGTTCATTTAATCTTTTTAAATTTGATTTTCAGATAATCCTGGGTCATCTGTAGATTGTCATTGGTAAATTTTGTTTGCCAGATTTTACTGATAATTTGACCTCCTTTTCTTAAGTGCTCTTGGGTCAAAAGTTTCCAGCAGGAAAGAGGAGGGTGAGGCCTGTAAATGAAAACCACTGCTTCCTCCCACCCCCGTGTAAAGTGTGAAGAGAAATGTTCTCAAGAAAAGTGCTGTGTGGTGGTCCCTGGTGTCACTGCATATAACAGGGACCAGGGGAAGCATTAGGTGGAAGTCAGTGTGGGGAAGGTGTGAAGTCTTACTTTATAGTACAATGTGCTGCTATTATTTTGATAAACAGATTCTGAAATTCCAGGACATAATGTGAACCGCATTTGAATGCAAATGCAGAAACACCTTCAGAAACTCCAATATAAAATTCTAATTATGGCTTGGCTTCCCCTTTGTGCAGGTAACTATACCACATTCTTAAATTGGAACAATGATTATATCTCCCATAAAGATAATAAAAATTATTATATGAGCACTACTTTCATTGTAGGTATATTTTATTATATAAATATGTATGTGTATTTATTGCATAAATCATTGCAGGCTCAGATATGAGCACCAGAACAATAATCAGAGGGGAATTGTTCCCTTTTATTTCCTCGTGCAGAGCCAGTGTTATGTTTCTCCACAATGTTGGGGCTCTTGTGAAACAGAGAGCTGACCCCAAAAGGTTAGAGGAAGCGTTTACAGAGTTTGGGGAGAAAAAAAGTACCTTGAAATTTTTTGCCTTTGAAGAGCTGGGAAAGCAGTTTTTGACAGAGGGAGACAAGTACAACCCCTCTGTATAGTGGAAGTGAACAAAGCTTTCCTTGACACCAGAGGTTTTTGTTGTGCCCAAAAGTGAACTCTTCATTGATGGAAGGGGTTCTTTTATTTGATCCATCAAGATTACCAAGTCACATTACCATCCCTGATCGAAATTCAGCGTCATGAAGTCGTGATTAAGGTTATAGAAGCCAGTTCATGAAGTGGCAAGAGATTACAGACACTGTTTCCTCCTCTTGGTCACTGGGAATTAAGTTTCAGTAGCATCAAGGACTTCTGAAAGACTAGTGGAAATTATTTAAATTACATTCTCCAACTTCTCCCCTGGATTCATGGCTAAGAAATTTTGACTAGTTCATAAAGTGGGACAGTGTTGTTGTTCTGTAACAAGGAAATGTCCTGAAAACATGGTTGCAAGATGGTGGTTGTGTGGTTAGAATAACGAGCGGGACTGCAGAGGACACCTCGTGGTCCGGCCCAACGCTGGTAGGCGCAGAGATGTGGCCACAGGCGAACAGGTTACTTTTTCTGCTGACATTTGTCCAGTCTCCCTTGAGAAGCTTTTGGGAGAATCAAATGAGGCGAAGTATGGGGGAGTAATTTGAAACATAAAAAGCACAAAAAATAACTTGAATGCAGTTACCAAACACCATAGGGCATCTTAGTAGAACAAACTGGGAGTAAATGGCTGAGGACATTTTTGTTTAATTTTACAGGGAACAAGGGAAACACTCAGTCGTCACTGCACTGTGCTTGGTGAGGCTCTTCAGAAAGAGAATGATTTTGCTCTTATAATTGATGGGAAAACCCTCAAGTATGCCTTAACTTTCGGAGTACGACAGTATTTCCTGGACTTAGCTTTGTCATGCAAAGCTGTTATTTGCTGCAGGTAAGATCTTAATACCGGCAGGTTTTAGTAAAGAACACTGTGATCCTTCGTTCTTGATTTTTAAAATTCCTTAAAGTTATTCTACCCAGAATTTGTAAATATTAGGTTATTATTTCACAAACTGGTACAGAATGTAGTAGCAGAGCTTTTGAAAGTGAGTCCTAACAACTATTAATTACTGTTCGTACTTTGCAACAACATGTTTCTTGCAGGTTTCGGTATTTAAAATGGATTATTTGCCTGTATTTCCATCTAGACTTATTTCTCTAAAGGTGCTGTTTTCTACACTTAAATCTTTGATCCTGCCGTTGTTTGTGGAGTGACATGATGGGAGATGCTAATTGAATCATTTTCCAAAAAGCTGAGCATTTTTCGTGAAGGCTATATATTGACTGTATAATCCTGTTCTCTCTAATTTATAGCATTGCCTATATCCTAAATTAAAATATGTTTTGAGTTGTTAAGCCCTAATCCATAGAATTGTATTTTTGTAAACTATTTAGCTCCAATCCTTCCTGGACTTGTCAAAGAGTCTTCCCCTGCTCCACACTATGTCTTCCTAAAATTAAAAGTGTATTTATGGTTATGCACAGTTCCTTCACCGTGAAACCTAAAGATTTCCCTCTTTGCCATCCACTTACTGAATCTCACCAGCTGATCAAACTAGGTCCAGGGTAGCAATTTCTCAAATTGCTTTTTCTTCCTGGGAGATGAAATGTTAACAGGGCTTCTGAAGAATTTCTCAGAATCTATTTTCTTAACACTATCTTTAAATTTTTTCTATGTGCTTTTATCATTATCTATAAAAATGTATTTACTAATAAAAGAATGTTATGCTTTTTAAACCTTTTTTTTGTTGTTCAGACTTATTCACATAAATATCCTATATGTATAATGTACCTTCAAACTTGATCTAAATGTCAATTGGAATATACTTTGTGAGATAGAATTTAAATCATATTTAATAAGTAGCCTTTATAGGCATCATATCAGCCTATAAAATTATATCATGCTCAGAGAATTAGGAGTTGCTTATTATTCCCAGAAGTCTTATTATTTTAGTCATTTATTTTTCTTCTCTGTGGCATGTATTAATGAATATTACTGTAGAACTCTTGGATACTCTATTATACAGATATTTGCTATTAGTAATAATCAAGTTCTTTGCTTAGTCATCAAGAAAGAATTAGAAATTATTTTATCCTGACTGTCTCATTTGCACTTTGGTATCTTCATGCTTTTCAAGATCTGCATTTCTGGTGACTTTTATTGATTCCTTGCTAATCTCTTGACCAAGTCTTAGTAATGTTCAACTCCAACATTCTTCCATCAGGGTAATTTTGTGCCAGACATGGTTGTTTAATGACTTTCACTAATGGGATCATAAGGATCAACAAAAGATTGCTCAAAAGCACATGAAGAAATACAACTGTTGGCTATTTGAGAACAAAACAGAATACAGAACTCTTTTAAGATAAAATAACCAGTTCCCTTGATTTGACATCGGTTCTGTGCATACCTCAGATGCCCCACATACAAGAATGAATGAGACTTCCTGCCCACTCTCCTTCGTGTATCTTTCTGTTTCTTTCGAGTAGAATCACAGTTGACTTAAAAGATGTGGGAGGCCAGTTCTCATAATGTAGTCACTGCAGCTGAGCTTCATTCTTAAAGCATTGCTTAACACAGTACCTCCCACCCTTCTTCAAAAAGTTGAACCATAAAATTAAACAATAGCAGAGGGAGAGAAAAACTAGGAAGCAGAATCAAGGGAGAATAAATATGTTCTGTGCTTGTGCTTGTGAAATTCCCTCACGAGATCCTTGTTCTGGATGCTCACAAGTCATGTGGACCTCAGGGCTCCTCCAGGCCCCAGACCCCCGGGAGGGACTCACTCTGCCATGCACGTGCAGCTTGGCTCTGAAACTGAGCTTATAAAGCTGTGTGTGGCCCTTCCTCCCTCCATCCTGTTTTTATGCCTGTTGGAGGACCATGAAGGTCCCTATGCAGACACTGAGTTTTTATTTAGAGGGTTTTTTTTTTTTTGGTGGGTGTTGGGGGTTAAGTAAAATATCTTTCCTCGGCTTTTTTCTTCTAATTACCTTCATATTCTCTCTTTTCCCATAAGGATTGTGGTCCAGCTTCCGGTTTGCCTTTGAGAATTTATCTAAGCCCATAATTACATCAGTGCCAGTGCTGGATTTATGTCTGTGCACCTTCTCGGCCTGGTGCCTCTTGGCATTTAAACTACCAGCACAGACCGTCTTCTTTTCATTTAGCTCACTGACCTCAAAGTACAATTTCCATGATAATGCATCTATCACTGGTAAGGAATAGATGGGCAATTGTATATATCATTCTTTACCATTTAGTGTGTCACTCCGGGTTTCTCAGATCATTACAATCTCCCAGCCTCAGGAAATTCTCTATTTTACCCCATTAGAATAGACACCCCAGATAAATACTGAATGTTATTTTGAAATACAGTGCAGTACTGTTTCCCAAATACATTTATGTCCATTCTGGCTTTATGAGTTTTCCCTTCAAACTACTTTTTAATCTGTTTCTTGTCAGTCTGTGTCTGAAGATAATTCAGGATCTGCTCTCTCTCTGCAAAGTCTTCTCTTTGCCATAGCTAGAGTGGAAGTCGAGGGGAAAACCTTCCCATAATGGATCATGAGGCTCTCAATATTAGCTCTATCTCCAGGATTACATCAGCCACTTTCTTCCTGGACATCATCAGCATAAAGGGCAGAAGGCAGTTTTTAGTGTTTGCCTAATTGACACAGTTATAAAGATGAACATTTTCCCTGAAGAGGCAGCAGTTGAATTTGAAAGAAACAGTTGTTCTCAGTCCGAAGTCATTACATCTCTTACTTACCACCATTTCTGAAGACATATTCAGAGACAGAAATAATCCCCTTGCCCCAAAATTATTCAGGGCTTTGGAGTTCTGGTTTTGGTTTACAAAGTGAACGTCACATGTTATACCTCAAATGATTTTTTTCTAAGTATGTAAGACCCAAGAAGTAAAATGAAATCTATTTTTATCAGTCTAACAAGTAGTGCACTTTCATAGATCATGAAGTTGTTTTTTTTTTTAACCTCTGTGAGCATTTACCTTTTTAACCTGAGTAGCTTAATAGGAAACATGCATCTGATGTTAGGGTAGGTTTTGGTAAGTTTTCCTGGTTATAAACAAACTGCTCCTCTGTGGGCCTTCTTGCCTTTATTCCCTTGCTCACATATACTGATTCTTAGTGTTTGTTGTGATCACAGATTCTTCTGAAAGCTACAGGCTGTTTCCACCCCCACAAAATATATATATATATATATATATATACACAGGCACACACACATACAAACATGTAAAAATGATTGCACCACTTAAGTTTCACAACTCCCTGAAACTCCTTGGACAGAGGGGAGGAAAGCTTGCTCCAAGACTCATCCCTTCCTCCCTCCATCCTGTTTTTATGCCTGTTGGAGGACCATGAAGGTCCCTATGCAGACACTGAGTTTTTATTTAGAGGGTTTTTTTTTTTTTGGTGGGTGTTGGGGGTTAAGTAAAATATCTTTCCTCGGCTTTTTTCTTCTAATTACCTTCATATTCTCTCTTTTCCCATAAGGATTGTGGTCCAGCTTCCGGTTTGCCTTTGAGAATTTATCTAAGCCCATAATTACATCAGTGCCAGTGCTGGATTTATGTCTGTGCACCTTCTCGGCCTGGTGCCTCTTGGCATTTAAACTACCAGCACAGACCGTCTTCTTTTCATTTAGCTCACTGACCTCAAAGTACAATTTCCATGATAATGCATCTATCACTGGTAAGGAATAGATGGGCAATTGTATATATCATTCTTTACCATTTAGTGTGTCACTCCGGGTTTCTCAGATCATTACAATCTCCCAGCCTCAGGAAATTCTCTATTTTACCCCATTAGAATAGACACCCCAGATAAATACTGAATGTTATTTTGAAATACAGTGCAGTACTGTTTCCCAAATACATTTATGTCCATTCTGGCTTTATGAGTTTTCCCTTCAAACTACTTTTTAATCTGTTTCTTGTCAGTCTGTGTCTGAAGATAATTCAGGATCTGCTCTCTCTCTGCAAAGTCTTCTCTTTGCCATAGCTAGAGTGGAAGTCGAGGGGAAAACCTTCCCATAATGGATCATGAGGCTCTCAATATTAGCTCTATCTCCAGGATTACATCAGCCACTTTCTTCCTGGACATCATCAGCATAAAGGGCAGAAGGCAGTTTTTAGTGTTTGCCTAATTGACACAGTTATAAAGATGAACATTTTCCCTGAAGAGGCAGCAGTTGAATTTGAAAGAAACAGTTGTTCTCAGTCCGAAGTCATTACATCTCTTACTTACCACCATTTCTGAAGACATATTCAGAGACAGAAATAATCCCCTTGCCCCAAAATTATTCAGGGCTTTGGAGTTCTGGTTTTGGTTTACAAAGTGAACGTCACATGTTATACCTCAAATGATTTTTTTCTAAGTATGTAAGACCCAAGAAGTAAAATGAAATCTATTTTTATCAGTCTAACAAGTAGTGCACTTTCATAGATCATGAAGTTGTTTTTTTTTTTAACCTCTGTGAGCATTTACCTTTTTAACCTGAGTAGCTTAATAGGAAACATGCATCTGATGTTAGGGTAGGTTTTGGTAAGTTTTCCTGGTTATAAACAAACTGCTCCTCTGTGGGCCTTCTTGCCTTTATTCCCTTGCTCACATATACTGATTCTTAGTGTTTGTTGTGATCACAGATTCTTCTGAAAGCTACAGGCTGTTTCCACCCCCACAAAATATATATATATATATATATATATACACAGGCACACACACATACAAACATGTAAAAATGATTGCACCACTTAAGTTTCACAACTCCCTGAAACTCCTTGGACAGAGGGGAGGAAAGCTTGCTCCAAGACTCACAGAGATTTGTATCCACAGCTAAACTCAAGAATTGTTCCGCAGAGCAAC